ATTATGCAGCTGCGTTCCTGCAGAAACAACTTACGGTAAGCCAAAAAAGTTAATGTGCCTTTTGGAAATGGCCAGACAATTAGGTTAAAAAATATATATTTATTTTTATAATCCTGAAGTTTTCTTGCAACACTGCGTAGGACTATATTTTATTTGTTAGTTAGTTAGTTAGTTAGTTTTAAAGACAGAAACAAAATAAAAGTAAAGTCAAATTAAACACCAAATGCTGTATCCTACTTGTTCTGTCATCCTCTTTAGTTTTTATTCTTCAAAAATCACTGCAGAAAAGAGTTCTCATGTCTGTGTGCTTTCCCCCAGTGATTTCTTCACACGAGAGACATGGGCAGACATCCATAGGTGTGGTATTATATAGCATTAATATATACCAATTAAATATTCAAACACAGGAATAATTATTGGCTGTAGTGTACTGTTACTTCCACTAGACAGTGGCCTCAAATTACAAATCTGACTCCCACCAACTGACCATGGTTCACTAAGAAAATTGGTTCCTGCAGCCGTCATGTTTCAACATTGCCATTGAACTTAATCCACATTTCCTAATTTTCTGATTTAACAATATCCTGGAGTCGTTTGTTTACTGTGCATAAACTGAGCAGTTTGTGAAGGTGAGTTAATACATACAGTAACTAAAAGGCAGGCTGAAGTCTTTTACATTTGTTGTCAATGCGCTTTAGTGGCCAACACAAACTACACCGAATTCTGGTGGTTTGCAACCTAATGTTATATTTGCTTAAAAAAAACATTGTGCGTGTTGTCTTTGAGAAACATTGAGTTTAGCATCTTTTTAGGTGAATTGGAACTATAAATAAAAATATGACCTCCACAACAAAGTCATTTTATTCACTGTTTGCCTGTATACACTGAGTCGACAAAAACACCGCAACAAATGTTACGTTACGCTGAATTATCAACAAAAATAGCGTGAAACTCTAAACAACGTCAATTTTGGACTCTACCGCTCTCCATAGAACCTGAATGGTACGAGCACAACATTGAGGGGACGAGCCTTTCCTTGAACGCGCACTGACGCTGCCTCCTTTTCCCGAGGGCGGGGGGAGTGGAGACACCTCCACGGGCACTGCAGACTGGAGAGGGTTGGTCAACATGGCGTCTGAGCAGGTCCGTTATGTTCAATATTTTTTGTTTTCTTGCATTTTACACTGTTGTTTGCGCAAGTGTTTGTTAAGACAACAATGATATATATTCCCGAGTAACCTGATATAAAAGAATATAGCCTAAATGAATATAGCTTTATAGTCCGCACTGATAGGCTATGGCCTCCGCTTCGTTATTATAGGTAACGTTAATGCTATATGGACATAAAACGATGCTATTTTGGCAGAGCTGCTGTTTGTCAACGATGTAATTTCCCTAATATAATGAGCATAGACGCTGTATGATAAGATACAGTCGAGTTTATTTGCATTTTGTTGCTAAAATGAGTGCAGTTTATTTTTAGTCATGGCCACAGACAGGCGGTCGCGGGCCATTTAACTGAGATGCATTCCAGCGCAGAGCACAAGAGACACTGAACATAGGCACTATAGCTTGTGGTGGCTAAGGCACAATTTTGGCAAAATTAACAAACAGTAAAAGTCAGTTTTACTAAGCTGAGCGAAAAAGGCACGAAAGCCATACGCCTGGGCAATATTATACTGTGATTGATTTTAAATAGTCAGCTCCAGTCTGTCTATGTAGAGAGTGTTACTCAGCTATTAAACAAAGTATCTGTAAGGAATAGTTATTTCTGATGTGTAATTTCATAACCTAAAATAAATCAATACTGGAAAAAGTCTGGTTTTCTGTGTGAGTTTATTAAACCTTTATTGTACCATGGAAAGCCCACTTAGCTTTGAAACCTCTTTTTCATTGGTCCCTTGGTTAAGACAAGACAAGAACATTGTACAGAAAATCTGAAGTTACAAAATAAAAACAGAGCAATTAAAACTAATTTAAAAGCAGACAAAAATAAAAACAGAAGCAAGTGTAAGGACTCAGACATAACTGCTGTTTAAGGTAATAATAGGAACAGACAGTAAAGGGCTCAGCCTCAGGTGTTGTTTTCTCTTTCAGGAGAGTTCCAATGGGCCAGTGAAGAAATCCATGCGAGAGAAGGCTATTGAAAGACGCGGTATCAACAAGGAACACAACAGTAACTTCAAAGCAGGCTATGTACCCATAGAAGAGGAGCGTCTCCATAAGACAGGGCTGAGAGGACGCAAGGGAAACCTGGCTATTTGCATCATTGTCCTCCTCTTCCTTCTTGCCTTAATTAACCTCATCGTGAGTACTATCATCTAACTGTTCTTGTCCAGAGATCCTCTTGATTAAACTTGATTTCACATAGAGTAATCACTATGTGTTGTTGCATGAATTGCAAATCATGATCTTTTAAATTCTGCCTGTCAGATCACACTGGTAATATGGACAGTGATCCGTATTGGTCCGAATGGGTGTGACAGTATGGAGTTTCATGAGACTGGCCTGCTGCGCTTCAAACAGAAGGCAGACATGGGCATCGTTCACCCACTGCACAAGAGTACAGTAGGAGGCCGGAAGGACCAGGACCTGGTCATTGTTGGCAACAATAACCCGGTGAGAAACCCTGAGTATGCATGAAGAGTACAGTGAATGCTGAGTATTTCAAAAGCATAGAAAATGACTCCATGTACACACTCTTTTATGTGTTGTTCCAGGTCGTGTTCCAGCAAGGCACTACTAAGCTGAGTGTTGAGAAGGACAAGACCTCGGTCGTCAGTGATGTTGGCATATCTTTCACTGACCCTCGTACACAGACCACATTCTTCAGCACAGACTTCGAAAACCATGAGTTTCATTTGCCAAAAGGAGTCAAAGTCCTCAGTGTTAAAAAAGCTTCCACAGAAAGGGTGTGTACGTTGCTATGCGTATTTCTGATAGCTGTAACCAAGTGTAACTCATTGATTATGTCAGTGTTTCTGAATGTGCACAGCACAGTGATATTAGTACATGATAACTAACAACAGTAAAGTGAAATGACCTTGTAGAACTTTCCACAAATGAACATGAATGAATGTACACAGTCCAGACACTGCCGGAGTAGATTCACAGCAGCATCTTAATGTCCTTGTCTGGCCATTTCTGAAAGATAAATACAGTTTTAAGAAGACTCAAGCTGTAATTGATAACAGCTGTGCTTTTATTATTGTATGAAATACAAGCCTGAATATGATGAAATATTTTAGTTTTTAATTTTTTATAAAAATTTAAATTCTTAAAATTTTGAAGTGTGTAATTATGGGGTGATGGCAAAAGCATAATTTAATATACTAATAAAACACATTATATCACACACATACTATCCAAAGCCTTTGTATATGCTGTTCATAGTGTTGGCAGATCTCATATTTTGTGTCTGATTTTAGATCACCAGTAGTGCAACATCTGACCTGAACATCAAGGGGGACAGCAAGGCCATCATTCGTGGTAATGAGGGAGTCAACATCATGGGCCGGACTGTAGAGTTTAAAATGGGTGGAGGCATTGAGCTCAGAGCTGTAAGTACTGTATGGAAAGTAGCATCATGCCCTGTTGTCCTGATTTGATGGGTAACAGTAAGCAAACATATGCATGAATGTAACACTGATGAAGAGCAGAATGGGGAAAGGATGGATTATGGATTTTTCTCTTTGCAGGAGAACAGCATTGTCCTCAATGGATCAGTTATGTTCAATGCTACACGCATCCCTCACTATGCAGGAGATGTGTATTTCGATGACGGTCTGGAGAGGTACAAGCTCTGCATGTGTGCAGATGGGACTCTGTTCCGTGTGCAGGTGAAATATGCCAACATGGGCTGCCAGACATCAGACAACCCATGTAGAAAAGCTCACTAGGAGACTGATCTGGAAAGTGCTGAATCTTTCTACAATCTGTCACCGTTGAAATCAAATTTTCATAGGTAAAAGATTCTATATGATATGGATCATGATTTGCACATAATGAAATCTCTGCAGTTCACCTGACAAATACTGTTTGCCAAACAATAATGGAGTTACAGATCATTACCACTTGGCCAAAGATATTAACCTAAATGTAAGTGCTAAGTATTTATTTTATCACTCTGCAGATGTGCCAACACGACCTAAAGTTTATAATCCCATATAAGTGCATAAGAATTTAACATTGTACTGTGGTTTAAACTGCCCATTCTTATCAGTTAGCAGCTACAGTGTTTACGTTTTGCCTTACCATCCACTATTACTAATATACAAACTTTGTAGAGGGGTTGTATAAGATTTTCTGTTCATTGTCCCTGGCAGATTTGTTTGATATTGACTTTATTCTCTTGACTGACAAATGTGAGACACTATAAGATTATATTGAGTTATCTAATGCTCAATATAATATGTATGACTTACTTTAATACAAAATATACATTTTGCATTGAAGGGCATACAATTGTACAGGTGCACCTAATAAAGGGGCCCGTATATATTCTAATTTTGTTGCTAAAGGTTTTTGTACAACAAAATAACTTAGTGTTTGCACTGAGATGAACTACAGATTAATGCAAATCTCTTTAAATGTAGATGTACGTGAATGTCAGGAGAGTTTAAATTATCAGTAACTTGGTTTGAAGCTCATATTAAGTGATTAGAATTTTGTGCAATATAGTATAAAACAGTTGACTTTTATTATGCTTTGGATTGTATTGTCTGTTTTGTAACAGTGCTCATGTTGACAACATTTGTTGTTAATGTCATGAAGTAGTTGTTCTCAGTACATTACAGACCTGATGTCTGTTGTGAAAGTTTGGAGTGCTTTTGATCCACATAAAGGAAAACAGGAAAGAATGGCAGCCAGCCCTATTTAAGATTTTGTTCAACATGTCATTGATATGTCTGTTTCAGTAAAGAAACATGAAAATGTGAAACTTCTTATTGTTGATTTCAGACGATATCTCCAGTGTTTACATGGTCATTTAAAGCCATAAAAGAAGACTGTGTCTCATAATGCTGTTTTATTATTCAGTGGAATGTGTGGCTGTAAATTTTCAGATTCTGTATTCTCTATCACACATAAAAAGGAAGATAGTGACAGTAAGACATTAACTAGACATGTAAATGATTGAATGAATCATAGAAAGGCATCTCTGGATAGGGGCATATATTATGCTAGACGCAGCAGAATACACTGCAGACTTTGACCAGAAGCTGCTGGAGACAGTCAAAGTTAAAGTACTGACAGCACTTTGGGTGTGAAGAGAAAGTTTCAAGTTTCCCTGTCAGCTTGGCAAAAAGTGGACACACAGGTGAGTTTGATGTTTTTCAACTGTATGTGATTGAGGTCTTTTAAATTAACGATTTGCTGTGGGATGAGGAATTGATCTTTTGCTCATTTACAGTGCCTTGCGAAAGTATTCGGCCCCCTTGAACTTTGCGACCTTTTGCCACATTTCAGGCTTCAAACATAAAGATATAAAACTGTAATTTTTTGTGAAGAATCAACAACAAGTGGGACACAATCATGAAGTGGAACGAAATTTATTGGATATTTCAAACGTTTTTAACAAATAAAAAACTGAAAAATTGGCCGTGCAAAATTATTCAGCCCCCTTAAGTTAATACTTTGTAGCGCCACCTTTTGCTGCGATTACAGCTGTAAGTCACTTGGGGTATGTCTCTATCAGTTTTGCACATCAAGAGACTGAAATTTTTGCCCATTCCGCCTTGCAAAACAGCTCGAGCTCAGTGAGGTTGGATAGAGAGCGTTTGTGAACAGCAGTTTTCAGTTCTTCCCACAGATTCTCGATTGGATTCAGGTCTGGACTTTGACTTGGCCATTCTAACACCTGGATATGTTTATTTGTGAACCATTCCAATGTAGATTTTGCTTTATGTTTTGGATCATTGTCTTGTTGGAAGACAAATCTCCGTCCCAGTCTCAGGTCTTTTGCAGACACCATCAGGTTTCCTTCCAGAATGGTCCTGTATTTGGCTCCATCCATCTTCCCATCAATTTTAACCATCTTCCCTGTCCCTGCTGAAGAAAAGCAGGCCCAAACCATGATGCGGCCACCACCATGTTTGACAGTGGGGATGGTGTGTTCAGGGTGATGAGCTGTGTTGCTTTTACGCCAAACATAACGTTTTGCATTGTTGCCAAAAAGTTCGATTTTGGTTTCATCTGACCAGAGCACCTTCTTCCACATGTTTGGTGCGTCTCCCAGGTGGCTTGTGGCAAACTTTAAACGACACTTTTTATGGATATCTTTAAGAAATGGCTTTCTTCTTGCCACTCTTCCATAAAGGCCAGATTTGTGCAGTATACGACTGATTGTTGTCCTATGGACAGAGTCTCCCACCTCAGCTGTAGATCTCTGCAGTTCATCCAGAGTGATCATGGGCCTCTTGGCTGCATCTCTGATCAGTCTTCTCCTTGTATGAGCTGAAAGTTTAGAGGGACGGCCAGGTCTTGGTAGATTTGCAGTGGTCTGATACTCCTTCCATTTCAATATTATCACTTGCACAGTGCTCCTTGGGATGTTTAAAGCTTGGGAAATCTTTTTGTATCCAAATCCGGCTTTAAACTTCTCCACAACAGTATCTCGGACCTGCCTGGTGTGTTCCTTGTTCTTCATGATGCTCTCTGCGCTTTAAACAGACCTCTGAGACTATCACAGTGCAGGTGCATTTATACGGAGACTTGATTACACACAGGTGGATTCTATTTATCATCATTAGTCATTTAGGTCAACATTGGATCATTCAGAGATCCTCACTGAACTTCTGGAGAGAGTTTGCTGCACTGAAAGTAAAGGGGCTGAATAATTTTGCACGCCCAATTATTCAGTTTTTTATTTGTTAAAAAAGTTTGAAATATCCAATAAATTTCGTTCCACTTCATGATTGTGTCCCACTTGTTGTTGATTCTTCACAAAAAATTACAGTTTTATATCTTTATGTTTGAAGCCTGAAATGTGGCAAAAGGTCGCAAAGTTCAAGGGGGCCGAATACTTTCGCAAGGCACTGTATCAATGATTTTAGAAAGGCCAGTAAAAAGTTCATATAGTCTTTTACACAACATTTCCTAATGGTAAAAACTGATCTTACTGATTTTCTGTCATTCATAATCTATCTATACTTGCAGGACAGGTTGTGATGGCAGTGGCACGGGAGCCACTGTTGGCTGCTGTGCTGCTCTTCATCTCCCCAGGGCTCCTTTGCGCCTCTCCCCCACTTGACTGTCCACAGTCCTGCACCTGTCAGAGAGCCACCCTGTTGAACTGCTCCTCCTCCAGCCTCTCCTTAGTGCCTGAACACATCCAAGACTCTGTCACTGAGCTGGAATTGTCTCATAACCTCCTCGATTCTGTAACTCTCCACTGGCCACATCGTAACCTCAAGAATGTATGGCTGGGAAACAACTCTATCACACATTTGTCTCTGTGTATAGAGAGAAACCTTGGAAGTCAGTATGTAAGAGACAGACGTCTACATCGCTCGAGACCTTGGAGCAAACGGAGATGTGTGTCTTGGGCCCCCGCCCTGCAGCTGCTATCTGTTGAGAGAAATCAGCTTGAGCAACTCCCAGAGGGTGAGTCAATATGATAGAGTTATACAACCACATATAAAACACTGACAACATATGAACAGCACAATAACACTTCCTTCCAGTGAGCACAGCATAAAAGTGTTCATTAAACTTAGCCACTATCAGATGCTACTGTTGCACAGAGGTTAGCATACAATATACACTTTTCATCAACTTCCATATTAGTTATTATTATTTTACACTCAGTCAGTTTATTAGGACCACAAAGCTAAAACTCTTGCAGTCTAATAAAACGGTCCTGTAATACATTTCTATAATGATCATATATAGGTGAATCCACACCTCTCTAAGACAGTTAACCAGTTGAACCAATTGTTTCTGAAAATGGTTTGCAGTCTTGAAACATTTGAATCATCTCACACTGGCGACATCTGCTGGCTAATTACGTGTAAATACAATAGAAAGATAAGACGAACGATTGGGAGATGCATATTTTGAGTCATTTTCACAATATCACTGTGTAAATAAATTGTGTGACAATAATAAAAAGGCATATATAGTCTGCCTTCATCTGGGTATAGCCTAAATTTATCATTTGAGTAGGAAAACTGTATGGAAATGGGCCTCCCTGATGTGGAGCGTTTCTGTGACTGCAGCAGATGAAGACATGAGTGTTTTCAGTAGAGTTTACATTAACAGTTTTCTTGCTTGATGTCGCTCCTACTTTAGAGAACCAGTTTTGATTCATTTAGGCCACTGTGGATCCTGTGGTAATAAAGCAGATAGGAGAAAACATTTTCTTAACAAAATGTGCTGAATTAATAGGCCTAAATAAATAAAATGCAAATCAACAAACAAAACAAGACCCATGTGATTTTTCAGGTTGGCCTGGAGTAGCCTATGCCCTTTATTTGAATGTTCAGGATGCTGAGAGTGGAGGTGTCTGAGCAGGGGTGATGTATTGTTGTAAAACACCAAATGTTTTGTTTTATTTTTTATTTAATCTTTATTTTACCAGGGAAACCTTGCTGATATTAAAAATCTTTTTGACAAGAGTGGTGTAAACAAACAACATAAATCAATCTTCCCAAATGTCAAAAAGGTTATATATACAGTATGTCTTAATTAAAGACTCACAAAAACCTAGCAGTTTTCGTTCAGTTAGTGAGACGTTGCTGGTGATCTATGGGCAACCAGAAACACTGACTAAGGATCAGAGGCTCAAACCTATTTCTTTATCATGTAGTGCAAGGGTCAACTGACTCAGAATAAGTCATTGCAAATATCCGGTCTACTGTCCACGATTCACAGTGAGATGAGCCTCTGGCAGTGAAACCAGTGGGTGACACTACTGAAATTTTAAATGTTTCATGAAACAACGCGAAACAATCACATGACTTGGCCAAACGTAAGTGTCGCAAAGGGTTCGAAGTGTGTCGATAAGCCGTTTTCAGTCCGACCATCACTAACTGTAATATTAAGATAAAATGTATTGCAGGACTGTTGTCTCAAAATTGTATGAATTTTAACTGTGTTTCTAATAAACTGACAACTGAGTGCATGCAGTAATAATCTTTTATTTAAGCATTTTCATCAGCTTAGACTTTTGACTGCCTTTACCAACCAATGGTGGAAGTATTCAGATATGTAAAAGTAGCTAAAGCACAGCATAAAATGGCTTCATTTCAAACTTTTATTCAGGTAAAAGTACATCAGTATTTGAAATCTCAAAACTAAGTACTCATTACTGTTAAAAGCCAGATTCTGGTCTTAACTCAGTTTTGACCAGATAGTTTAGCATTTGGGTTTGTGGGGTTAAATGGCTTCTGTTAGTGTTGCCAATATTGTTATAGAGTATAACTGGATCATTATTATATGTGCATTTACATGTAAGCAGAACTTTAATGCTGCTGAAGTGGAGCTAATTTGAACTGTTTTATATATAGCTGAGTGGTTTGATTTAAAAAAAAAGGTTTTTATAAACTGCGTACATATTTTGTATGTAAAACTTGATCTTAAAAGTAATTAGTAATGATTAATCATACACAAATTTGGTGAAATAAGTACAATATTTTCCTCAGAAATGTTGTGAATTGTAGTGAAAACTTTAGTACTTTGTTACTTTACAACAACGTTATTCTCTCTCTCATTGTAATCACAAACATTTTTACAACCAAAGCAAAATTTAGGGATAGAGAGCTTTTTAGTGGGTTCCTTCTTATCTCGTTTATTATCTTACACATAATGGTCCCCTTCATGAAAACATTTTTTTTGTATGGGTGGTTAAGGATTGTGCATCTGATAGTGACGTTTAATAGCACACATGATACGCCCTTTAAATTGCTTTGTGTCATTGGAAAAGTCATTGAGAAATGCCCATGAGTCATATCTGGACAGGCCAACTCACAGGTGTATTGTTTATCAAATGATACCAAAAAGGTTAATGTCATTTGAGGGTTGTGAGCTGATATCCATTAGTGTTAGTACATTGCTCTCAGAAATGATTAAGCTTTGCGAGATAATGACACTGCAGAGCTGTCAGCCAGTCACAGTTTTTTCTGACATTCCAGTGACTCAAAGAAAGTTGTAAACATGCAATACAACTTTTATTTTTTCCCCTGCATCATGTTACTTCATTGATTTTGGCTTGCACATATGTGTTTCAAAGAAATACATTCACTATGGTTCTTTTGAAGGCATGTGTGGATAGCCCATTTACTTAGTAAGAGCTGTGTTGACAGTAATAGACTTTCCTGTTTGGTATTCAGCACACAGAGCACTCAGTGCCTCTCTAATGAAACACAGACCCACAGTGCCTTACTTCAGCCCATGAGTCTCAGGGAGAATGTCTTAGGCTGGTGAAAAGGAGACAGCTAAGACTGAGCACCCCAGAAACAGTCTTAACCTCTAATTAGTCATAGTGTAAGAGTGTTCATATTGACAATAAGTCAATAAATCAGAAGATTTTGGATGTATATTCCAGGGAAAGGGTGTTCATTGATTTGAAAATTTTACAATATTCACTGTCTAGAAGTCCACACAGAGAGAGGATTGTAGTTTTCGTTATTTGATCTTAGCACTGAAAACCCTGCAGTACTGCAAGCAAATCAACTTTATAGCTTAAAATAAACCATTTTTCAGCTTGCAAATAAGAGTGAAATGAAATGAAAAGCAGTACAGTACTGAGGACAAGATAATTGACCTGTTATTGTCACTGAAAACCTGTAACATATGCTACATTCCTTCAGGAGCTGCCCCATCATGATTATAGTTGAGTTCTAATTACAGTTCTTATTTTCTGTCATTCAGGGCTGGAAGGCAGTGGATCCTTACAGGTTTTGCAGCTCTCCTTCAACAGAATCTCAGCTGTACAACCAGAAGACCTTATCCACCTTCAACAGCTGAAAGAGCTACACCTACAACATAATCTAATCACCATTCTCCATCCACAGGTGTTCCAGGATTTAGCCCAGCTCAGGGTAAGCCTGATTTTTGTTTTGGAGTTGCGTTTGTATAGAATACAGATGATTATTTTCCTGATACCTGCTAATTTTATAACTTCATTATTTTTGTGGAAAAATGCACATTGCATGTTTCAGTATCTGCTCTATGTCCATATTGTGTCCCTGCTTAAAGGTCCTTGATCTCAGTTTCAACATGTTGACCAGCCTCCATCCTTTGATGTACCTCTCTCTGCAAACCATTGGGGTGGATGTAAAACTGGATGGGAACAGTTGGCACTGTGACTGCAGCATGCGCAATCTAAGAAGGCGGATGGCCTATGATAGCAGCAGAGGCCTGCAAACCTGGAGTATTATGTGTGCTTCTCCCTCTATCCTCTCAAGCAAAGACCTGCTACAGCTGGGGGAGGATGACCTAAACTGTTTTAATACTGAAAACAGGCGAGAGCTCCACCAAGATGTGACTGTTTATAGTGGCTCAGAGATGCTGCTGTCTTGTTTGACACAAGGTAACACACTCAAAAATGTAAATTATATATACATATTCAGGTCAGTTTAATTGCATATCAATGTTGTCTTTTTCGTAGATTCAGTGTGGTGGACGCCCAGTGGTCAAGCATCAGTGAGACAACCTCAAGCTGGTCTGCTCATCAATGACATCACAAAGAAAGACACAGGACTGTATGTGTGTGTGTCTGAAGAACATGAAGTTGTGTCTGTTTTTAATCTCCAGATTAGTAAAATGGGAGGTGCAAGAAGAAAAACTAGGAGTTTACCCAGAACCAAACAACAAATAATCCCACAAGACACTCCAAATAGGACGGATCAAGAAAGGAATCAGACAGCTACATCATCTGACTTGGTTCTGGCTGTGTGTCTGTCTGTTTTTATCACATTTCTGGTAGCCTTTATCCTTGGTGTCCTAGCAAGACCTTATATTAATATTCTTTGGACAAGGGTAGCTAACAAGAAAAGCTCATCTGAAACCAGTTCTGTTCCACCTGTTGAACAAAGGCAATATGATAATGAGGCCTATTCCAATGGTGAAGCACCAGAGGAAATAGTAATTCACAGGGAAAGAAGAGTCACATTTAGCAGAGAGGACAACAACGTACAGTATTATGATACCTTAGCCAGTGGTAATCAGGAACACATCAATAATGATGGAGTGGCTGAATGTGAAGCAGCTGAGGCTGAGGACATGTGTACAGCTGGAGATTTAAGAAATGAAAACACCTTACAACAGAGTACTCCAGAAGCTGACCCGAAAGATGGCAGACACTCCCCAGACATCATTGACCAAATACACAAGATAGAGTGTGAACACATCCCAGACACTATTGAGGTGGAGGAGAGGAGAAGCTTGTCTTTGCACTCTGATTCTTCACTATCTGACAAAGTATTAAAAAAGGACCAAATGACCAAGGGAGACTACACAGTACCCAGGTTTTCTCAGTTGGCAGAGGACTCCATTCAGCAGAGAGCTGATTTCTCAACAGCTATAAAGGAGGGCAGATGTGTAATTCCGGGATTTTCATCTGAGCCATTTCCAGACTGGTCACCATATACAAACCCCTTAGACCCTGATCTGTCACAAGAGAATGACGAACAATTTGAATTTAGCGATTCTGTACAAAGCACATCTGCAAGGTCCAGCAGTGTGTTTGGTTCCCTTAATGATCTAAAGCAGATTGCAGTACCCACTTTAGATAAACAAAAGAGGCATGATATGTCCAGCTCCAGCTCATATGTCAGTGAGGATGAACCTACACAATATACTGTAAACCCAGACCAGGAGGAGGAAGATGATATAGAAATGAACCACAAACTATCTGAGTTCACTAACAGACCAGAGCATTCATTTTCCTCACATTCCAGTGACAGTGATGGGGAGTCAAAACATGCCAAAGTTGACCTAAATTGCAAGCAGTGTTTGGATATCAGAGCCCTGTCACAACCCACTGAGTCATCTTCTGGTGATGAGAGTGTAGATCAAAAAATGGACAACAGACTAGATATCAAAGCACCATCACCGTCTCCTGATTCATCTTCTAGTAGTAGTAGTGAGGATGAAACATGTCACACAGAGAGGCCAGGAAAGGTGGACATTCGAGAGCTTCCACTGCAAAAACCATTAGGTCATAGCTCATGCACAAGATGGCCGACCCTAGATCTTGAACATATTCCCCGCATTAAGAGGTGTCTAGACATCAGAGTGGCATCACCAGCTTTTGATTTGTCTTCTAGCAGTGATAGTGAGGATGAAACAACAAGCCACACAGAGAAGCAGAGGCCAGTGACAGTAAATATTCCAGGACTTCAATACAAAGAATCTCAGACAACAAGGCATGATCCAGAGTCACCGTGGCCTGCCCTAAATCTTGAGTATATTCCTCGAATTAAAAGGTGTCTAGATATCAAAGCACCATCACCAGCTTCTGATTTATCTTCCAGCAGTGATAGTGAGGATAAAATAACAAGCCACACAGAGAAGCAGAGGCCAGTGACAGTAAATATTCCAGGACTTCAATACAAAGAATCTCAGACAACAAGGCATGATCCAGAGTCACCGTGGCCTGCCCTAAATCTTGAGTATATTCCTCGAATTAAAAGGTGTCTAGATATCAAAGCACCATCACCAGCTTCTGATTTATCTTCCAGCAGTGATAGTGAGGATAAAATAACAAGCCACACAGAGAAGCAGAGGCCAGTGACAGTAAATATTCCAGGACTTCAATACAAAGAATCTCAGACAACAAGGCATGATCCAGAGTCACCGTGGCCTGCCCTAAATCTTGAGTATATTCCTCGAATTAAAAGGTGTCTAGATATCAAAGCACCATCACCAGCTTCTGATTTATCTTCCAGCAGTGATAGTGAGGATAAAATAACAAGCCACACAGAGAAGCAGAGGCCAGTGACAGTAAATATTCCAGGACTTCAATACAAAGAATCTCAGACAACAAGGCATGATCCAGAGTCACCGTGGCCTGCCCTAAATCTTGAGTATATTCCTCGAATTAAAAGGTGTCTAGATATCAAAGCACCATCACCAGCTTCTGATTTATCTTCCAGCAGTGATAGTGAGGATAAAATAACAAGCCACACAGAGAAGCAGAGGCCAGTGACAGTAAATATTCCAGGACTTCAATACAAAGAATCTCAGACAACAAGGCATGATCCAGAGTCACCGTGGCCTGCCCTAAATCTTGAGTATATTCCTCGAATTAAAAGGTGTCTAGATATCAAAGCACCATCACCAGCTTCTGATTTATCTTCCAGCAGTGATAGTGAGGATAAAATAACAAGCCACACAGAGAAGCAGAGGCCAGTGACAGTAAATATTCCAGGACTTCAATACAAAGAATCTCAGACAACAAGGCATGATCCAGAGTCACCGTGGCCTGCCCTAAATCTTGAGTATATTCCTCGAATTAAAAGGTGTCTAGATATCAAAGCACCATCACCAGCTTCTGATTTATCTTCCAGCAGTGATAGTGAGGATAAAATAACAAGCCACACAGAGAAGCAGAGGCCAGTGACAGTAAATATTCCAGGACTTCAATACAAAGAATCTCAGACAACAAGGCATGATCCAGAGTCACCGTGGCCTGCCCTAAATCTTGAGTATATTCCTCGAATTAAAAGGTGTCTAGATATCAAAGCACCATCACCAGCTTCTGATTTATCTTCCAGCAGTGATAGTGAGGATAAAATAACAAGCCACACAGAGAAGCAGAGGCCAGTGACAGTAAATATTCCAGGACTTCAATACAAAGAATCTCAGACAACAAGGCATGATCCAGAGTCACCGTGGCCTGCCCTAAATCTTGAGTATATTCCTCGAATTAAAAGGTGTCTAGATATCAAAGCACCATCACCAGCTTCTGATTTATCTTCCAGCAGTGATAGTGAGGATAAAATAACAAGCCACACAGAGAAGCAGAGGCCAGTGACAGTAAATATTCCAGGACTTCAATACAAAGAATCTCAGACAACAAGGCATGATCCAGAGTCACCGTGGCCTGCCCTAAATCTTGAGTATATTCCTCGAATTAAAAGGTGTCTAGATATCAAAGCACCATCACCAGCTTCTGATTTATCTTCCAGCAGTGATAGTGAGGATAAAATAACAAGCCACACAGAGAAGCAGAGGCCAGTGACAGTAAATATTCCAGGACTTCAATACAAAGAATCTCAGACAACAAGGCATGATCCAGAGTCACCGTGGCCTGCCCTAAATCTTGAGTATATTCCTCGAATTAAAAGGTGTCTAGATATCAAAGCACCATCACCAGCTTCTGATTTATCTTCCAGCAGTGATAGTGAGGATAAAATAACAAGCCACACAGAGAAGCAGAGGCCAGTGACAGTAAATATTCCAGGACTTCAATACAAAGAATCTCAGACAACAAGGCATGATCCAGAGTCACCGTGGCCTGCCCTAAATCTTGAGTATATTCCTCGAATTAAAAGGTGTCTAGATATCAAAGCACCATCACCAGCTTCTGATTTATCTTCCAGCAGTGATAGTGAGGATAAAATAACAAGCCACACAGAGAAGCAGAGGCCAGTGACAGTAAATATTCCAGGACTTCAATACAAAGAATCTCAGACAACAAGGCATGATCCAGAGTCACCGTGGCCTGCCCTAAATCTTGAGTATATTCCTCGAATTAAAAGGTGTCTAGATATCAAAGCACCATCACCAGCTTCTGATTTATCTTCCAGCAGTGATAGTGAGGATAAAATAACAAGCCACACAGAGAAGCAGAGGCCAGTGACAGTAAATATTCCAGGACTTCAATACAAAGAATCTCAGACAACAAGGCATGATCCAGAGTCACCGTGGCCTGCCCTAAATCTTGAGTATATTCCTCGAATTAAAAGGTGTCTAGATATCAAAGCACCATCACCAGCTTTTGATTCATCTTTAGCCAGATCCAGCATTTCTGTAGGCTCTCAACAGTCTGGATCACACTCTTCTAGAAGTGACAGTGAGGATGAGAAAGGCAACCATAATGCTAAAGTAGCAGCAGGAGTATCTGCCATATCTAAGACCTCAGAAAAGGTTTTCACAAAGTCTCCAAAATTCCCAGCGATAAGCATTTCTCACAGTCCAATAACAGACCACAATATCAAATTAGAAAAGTATACAGTTATTGCAGATGACTTGGAGGACAAACCAACAAATGACAACATCAACACAACACCAGAAATAACCCCAGAGCTTCAGTCACGGTGGGCCACCATGAATCTTGGCATCTCACGCTTCAGAAAGCGTCTTGAAATCACATCACGTACACATGAACCACCCAATCTGCCCTCATCACCTCCACCTGAGTCCCCCTCCTCTTCCAGCAGTGAAAGTGAGACTGGGAATAAAGTCAGCAGAACAAGACAAAAGAGAAGGGGAGTTGAAATCCAAGAGAGTGATTCATACAAGGATGCATCCCTGAAGTATACCTCACAGAGCAAAACTGAGGAGATGGAAAGGAAGGATTCAACTTGGCCTCGTCTGAGTTTCACCAATGTCCCCCATGTCAAGAGGAGTTTGAATATCAGAGCACAAAGAGAATCATCCTCAAGCAGCAACAGTGAAGATGAGACTATAGACCACATTGTTACTGACCTGAGTCTTGGTGTCCCACGCATTAAAAGGTGTTTGAACATCAAAGCACCAGTCCCAAGTAATCCTCTATCTCCATGCAGCGAGAGCAAAAATGAAGTGCCAGGATACATTGGAAATCAAATAACACATGCATCATATGTATCAGGAATGACAGACAGTGACTCTCTAATCACTTATAAACGTTTAATTATGAAAACTTCATTGCCACCAGGCAATTCATTTCCCCCCAGTGGCAAGACTCAAACTACAGACCATGCTGAAATGTTAACTGTGCAAGACGGTCCATTCCATAGAGATGAAGAGAGAAATCCATCTCTTGCCCCAAGAAGGATTATGGGTATGAGCTTTGATAAATGTTTGAAGCAGTCCAGTAACATGACAGATGTAGACCTGCCACCCGAGATAAGGTGGACTGGTGTGGGTCGTCATCTGTCTGACCTTTCTATCTGCAGTCATAGCAGACGTTTGGATGAAGGCTTATCTCCACAGCAAGCTCCAACCGCAAAGCCAGAACTTCCCCAAACTGATTCCTCCTCCATTAGAAGTCATGACAGAATAACACAATTTGGAGATAACACAGAGGTGACACTGATGCATAAATACTCATCTCTTAGTCATAACAGTGTTTCTCGTGCGTCCAACAGAGGTCTTGACAAGTCTGACACCTTACCCAGCAGCACAAATGAGATTTTGAGGACCATATCTGAGGAGAAGAGAGAAAGGAAAGGCCTCAGTGCCCTGAAAGCCATGTCAACAGAGAGACAAAAGTGGGACACAGAAGATGAGCCTTTAAATAAGTATGCATCTCCTCTATTTGACAACCATGGTCCACAAGCTGACATTAGTTTTAGCTATCGCAGGTCTGAGAAAGAAATGAAGCCCCTGCCCAAACCACTAACACAATTACATCTTTCCCCTATTTCACTGAATGAAAGAAAAGTTGCAGATATGCCATATAGTGCTCCTCGCTATGGGAGGCATGATACTGGAGCTCTTGAACCACCACAAGAGCCTCCACCTCCTATTCCAGCAACAGCACCACCAGATGAAGAGGTTGGTTTCACATAGAGGTCCCCACAGAGGACTAAGAAGCACTGAGGAATCTAACCCTTTTTCAAATGGATCGCAAAATTCTGACTCCTCAAACATGCAAATCAGTGGTTTAATAAAGAAATCACTATATCCTTAACACTAACAAAACAAATGATTAGCCTTGCTCTTTAATCCAATATTGGCCAATGTATGACTTAAATATAGCAAATATATTCTATTTTGTAAATATTAAGCTTGAGATGAACTACAAGTACCAATAACCTACTGTGTGGATTTGTTGTAGAGCACCACATTTATCTTTCTTATTAGCCTCGTTTCTGTAAATAACTTTTTTTTGGAAATCGCAGATATGTATCCGTTATCAGTTTTGCAAAGAAAACCAGTATCACCAATGGTCTTGTATTATTAATACACTTATTAAGAGATAATAAAAGTCCATGTCTGATTAATGTAATGCAAAGTTTTCATTTGTAGAAAACATCTAAATAATGACAATGTTACTGACAGTAAAAGGTATTTAATGTTTTCTTATTATGGACAAACTATAAACTAAAGAGTCCAAATATAAGCCAGTAAGTTAATAAACCCTTTTATTTATGCATTTAGACATAGGTTATAGTGAAAACAGACATATAGACACTTACATTGTTTACATACATATATACAGTTGGGACAAGGCTGTTCATCCTCCTGCACTGTCATGGGAGAAAACAAACAAACAAACAAAAAAAAACTACACAGTGTTTAGCAAGAAATCCAGCAACTACCTCGATCCTAGATTTTATGCTGATGTTGTAATGACAATAGAGGCTTTCGCAGTGGATTTCAGTGACACAGGATCATGTATATTATCTTCACACCAAATTTCAATGTGTAGTTTATGTGTATTGTGACAGAGTGGTGCAAAAGTTGCAAAACAACTCAGGTGCACCTCAAATAAATCAAATAAGATCCTGCATACTGGCTTCAGCTACCTAAAGCTTTGTATGTATAGGATGAAATAAATGCAGGAGGGAACTCATGTTCCACCATGAGGTTACAGGTGTGTTCCAGCTCTTAATATACACAATCATGTTGTACATCAGAATTAAGGTAACATGATCGTGAATGTCAAATTAAGCACAAAACACTTGCACAAATTTCTGTACAAAACAAAAACGCTTGAAAAACGTTTTCAGAAATCTCATCCATTCACAAAAGGTTCTGTTGGAGCATGCATGCAAATATTAAATCTTCTGACAATTCAGCATCACACCACAGCCAAAGACAAAAATTTATACGCGTTACAAGAACCGTATACTAGGAAAAAAGAAGAGCATAGCATCATCACAGAGTTCCAAACTGTCAGTGTCCATTGTTTTGATTAGAACCTGTTGGACTGGTACAAAGCACTGCTTTCAGCAAACCTACTTTACTACTCAAGCCTAAAGGACCTTGTTTCAAGAGGGTCACTGGTCTTCCACTCTACGTACATTAACACATTCAGTGTTGGGAGAGATGCTACTACTAAGACCTGAAATTATCATTGGACTAAGGAAGACAAAACAGATGCCACATATCAAAGACATAATGGACACCAACTAGCTCTATGTCAACTTATAACACAGCCCCAACAGTCTGAATTCATCCTGAAATAATCCCTGACCACTCAGTGTGTCTGTGTGTGCACAAGCATGTGTGTGTTGTATGTATTCTCACATGTGTCTACTGTATACATTTGGGTTTGTTGGTATGTGTGTACAAAGTGACTTCCATGGTTTGAGGCACAATAATACTCTTACCTACACAATGTAGATACATAAATTTGTCATCAGACCAATAAATGCTGATCAGAGCACTAGTGGCTCACTGCTGAACTTTAATAAGAGTTAGTGAGCAGCATGGCTGATTTGTTTGATGTTATGAGGTCTGAAACCTTAGCAGAGGGGTAACACACTGTTAGCATTAGCTGGAGGAAAACAGCAGGAGGGAGCAAAAACTAGCACAAATCAACAGTAAACAGCACAGGCATGAGGAACCTGCAGCCATCATTTGACACAGTGTGCTTCTTGAAGAACTCTTATCCAACCCAAAATATGACAAATAATAGTTAGTGCCACGTGTCCAGAAAGCTCAAGTTCAAGTTCATTGCACAGATCTATAATATATAATGTGTGTCCAGGTCAAAGTGACTGTGTTTAAGACTTAGACACAATGCATGAACGGTCACTTCTGCTGGTTTCTCTGTGCTGAAGATAAGGGGTGAGGGGTGGTTCTCCACACAATACCACCTTGCTTCCATCATTCATGTATGATACCACATTATCCTAACACAGACAGCAATATGACATGTCACAGTGAGAGAGCAATGCCACTGGGGATTGCTGCAAGCTTGTCCACTATGAAACTTCGGTTGGGGAACATAACTCCACAATGACAGCTCTCTGCCTCTGCGCTCTGGGCAGCATGCACCCAGGCTGCAAACCCAGCGCCCCCACCCTAGCCCACCCACAGCCTGAACCCCCTTCTTTACCAGGAAGCACCTACTGTCACTGCTTTACCATTTTTGTATTGTTTACTTATTGGTTGTTGATTCTCATAGTTGTTGTTGTCACAGTTGCATTTTCTCCATTTTGCCCTGCAGTTATGACATCTGTCTTTCCTTGTACCATTCCACAAACTCATCCAACAACACTGGCCCTGATAAGAGGATAAGACAAAGATTATAACAGATTAGAAGGTGATTTATGTAACACTCACACATTTCCATAAAGATATGTGTTCACTCACAGGCACCATCCTCATCATAGTTACTTAGGTCCAGGTTGATTGTGCGGCTGAACTCTAAAACATTGCACCATTGGTCTTTGTTGATGACTTTGTACTTGGATTGCTGAGGAATAATACATGAATGCCTTACATTAATACAGCACCACAGCCTTTTAGCTACAACAACTGTATTCAAGGTCAAACTGGACTTTACACAGTCTTGTATACAACTACTATATGTGACATCTTTGATATGGTAAACTGTTGCAGAGACAATATCTAAACATGACACCTACCTCTAGAAACTGATTAAACACAGGGAACAGAGGCCATGTTTTCCCCAGAAGAAGTCCCAGCATACACTTGGCTGTGTTCAAGTCCAAACTCCTCTGATCCTTTTCCTGTCCAATCAAAACAACCAAGACTTCATGAAATCAACACTAAATATCAACCAGTTTAAACAAAGCAGGTTAATAACATCATTATCAACAATATTAGTCCCATGCTGTACACAGACTGAATTCGATAACCTACCTCTGTTACTGTTATCATGTTTTCATTCATTCTAGGTTGGTGGTGTATGATTGTTAACACTCTGTAATAATTCTTTAGTATATTACTTGTGTGGTGTACATTTAAGAATGTAATTATGTATGAATGTTAACACTGTCATAATTTTTTAGTATATTACTTGTGTGGTGTAGAAGAGAATTAGTTATGTAGAGATACTGCTTGCAAACCAATGATGGTAAGATGATGTCATGGGGTAGGACTGGATAAGTCTGACTTCTTCCTACTCCATCCAAGCATGTACTAGGTATAAGCACATTGATATTGGATTAGCATTTGTTGGATATGTATAAAATTATGTGTTGACATATCAACTGTCTTTACATGCTTGAAAGAATAAATCAAATCAAATCAAATCAATTTATTTGAATTGTACAGGAATGAAAAGTTGGGTCAAGTGAAAATAGGCTACACAATTGATAAGTGGTTTCCCAACCCAAGTGAAACTGGGACATGTCCTACCCCAAAACATCAAGGTTGGTCTGCACAAGAATTTCAAACAGACATATTTGGCTAGCAACAGTTTCCTATGGGAATTTCAGTATTTAACTATCCTTGTCTTAGCAATGCTGTGTATGTGAGCTTCCTTGCAGAAAACACTGCTTGACTCACCCGAGCAAAATCAAAGGCATATCTATAAATTAGCTTAAAACTGGTGCTGTCGTTTAGAACGGATCTCAGGTAGTCGAGCGAGTTCCTCAGCCTTTCTGTAGAGTCGCACCTGACAACAGCAGAACAGAGTTTCAGACATACTCCCCCCTCCACTGCAAGTTCTGCTACGAATTTAGGGTACTCTAAAAAAACATGATAGAAAAACTAGAGCAAGATAACAAGGTTGAAAACAGCATGATAAAAGAGAAAATGTTGGTAACTGACGTACTGCAGTGAGCCCATGCCTCTCAGCCACTCCTGGAGAGTGAAATACCCCATACTTTGGGCGTCCAGCTTCCAAGCAAGAACCAGCATCACCACCTGGGCACCAACAACAACCTTTAGGAGCCTATCAACTGCACTGACACAGAAAACAACTGACTCTAATAATCATCAAATCAAAGACTGAGTTTAAATAGTGCCCATGAAGTGAAACATGGGATGCACATTTTTGTTGATGACTAACTTTTTAAAATAGGTTAATACTACAAAACATCAAAAAGGATCAGAAATGCCCATCACATCTTTCCATAGCTAAATGGTTGTTTTAAAATTTCTTCTGCTTTTACAGTTGCATTCAGGATTTTTATCTAATCTTATTAAATAATTTATTTTTGTTCAGTGTAAAGTACCTTTGAGTATCTTGTAGTATCTTGAAAAGCACCATGTAAAATAATTGTATGATTATTACTTTCTTAGTCTAAGCCAGAAGGAGAAGAACAGTAAACAAGCAAACTAAGACCAAACTATAAGGCTTGTCTAAATATCCAAAACGCAAAAATCTGCTTACATTCTCCGGCTCTACGCCGATGTCTTCACAGAACTTCTCCATGCCTTCTGGACCCACCACATCATCACAGCCTATTTTGGACAGACAAGTGTGAGGCCACGTACAGCATCAATTTCACATCTGGGGCTAAAAACCTAAGCCACTGATCAGTGGCTAGATGTGAATAAATGTAGACTGTGTAATGTTGGGAGGGGAATGATTGCTGCTGCTGTACTTCAGTATATAATATCCCACCAGCATATTCATAGAACCACTCCAAGCATCTTTTACTGGAAAATGTCTCCTCCTCACGGATCTGTGATGTTTCGTGTTTTCTGAAAACACTGCCGATAAAAAGTTAGTTTTAGTAACAAGCTCAGCAAAACAGTCTTTAATATAAATATTCCTTTTTAATAAGCTGCAGTAGTCAGACATTCTTGCATAACATATTGACAATGAGTAATACTAGTATGCTACTGAAGTTGTCTTTTTTTTTTCTTTTTTTTTTTTTTTTTGTGTCACACCTGTCCTGACGACTCTTCTTAGCTGACATGTCATCTCCAGCTGATGGTCTCCTCTTTTTCCTAGGAGGCATGGCTCTAGAGCAACAAGCTAGGGAAGCGAGAGGAAGACTAACTGAAAAGGGGTTACTTACAATATAAGCAACAGACAGATGGTGGTGCATCTTTTTGTACCCTCAGTCCAGTTCAGACAGACACAACGCTTTGGCAGCAGCTTGCTGCATGACAGTGGTAACAGTGCTTTAAGCTAAGAATGAGACCCCCAAGAATCAGCTGAAGTATTACCTGAGGGGTGGGTATCCTGTCCAACGTCTTCTGTCAAGTTCTGTCAAAACAGATACATAAAAATTCCCGCCTGCTTGTGAGTGGGACACATATGGTGCACACTCACACATAAAAACAAAATATATATATAAATAATAAATCAGCTTCTAATATGTAATTACCAGCCTATGCAATGTGTGGTGGATCTTATGGATGCTGGCCAGTGTAGTCAAGTGGGAATTCAGCTGAAAATCTGTTTCCACAAAAATATTAATAACATCAAAAGTTCAAATCAAAACATAACACACAACCGCCTGCTACAAAATCAAACTTAGAAGCACAGCACAAGATACAAAAGTGTGACATCATTATAGCACCAACAGAGCCACTGCCTTATATTCCATGTATATTTTTTTTATCCATAGTCAATACTCTACCGTGCTCAAATGACTTTCGTCGGATTTTTAACTGGGAAATATCTCACATCAAGGAGGTGGTGACTCTCAATTCCTCGAAAGACATACAAGGTCGAAAATATTTGATCAAGCGTGGTACCTTGTCGCCAAATGTCATCGGTGCATCTCCGATCAAAAGCTGTCATTACATTAGCGACTGTTTACATTTCTTTTTAGAGGCCATAACTAGACAAACCAGCAAACTGCCGAGCAGATAGCACTAGCTGCATACCTAAAATAGCAGTGCAGACGCGCAACTTGCATAGAGTTTACAAAGTATCTGGAGAGTTGTGCGTATGGGCGTTGTAGTCCATTTCCTTCGAAGAGGCTATTGAATCCATAGCTCTTCTTGGGATACAAAACTACAATTCCCAAGCCTTAACAAAGCAACTATTTCTTTCAGACCCCTCTACCCCCAACATTTCCCTCAACTGCCTGAATGCATTTTACATTGTTAAAAAAAATCTAATATTATGTGGCTGCTGGCACATAAGCATTGCGCAGACGTTTTGCAGCAGCTGATGTAGGCCCCCGCAAGACCCCACAGCGCTGCTGCAGCAGTCAAAGAAAGATATTTTACACAACTGCGTCACAATTTTCATTCTCTGTAATAGTCCGCAGTCGGCCAGAAAATTGACTGAATCACAGAGGCATTACGTTTACCCCAAGCCTGAGTTGAAATGCATAGTACTTCCTCAGTGATGAAAACAAAGATCACATCGCATCGATTAGCACCAAAAGCCCTCACAATTTAATTAACGTCGGCTGCATTCAACTGGCCACGGCTAATGTTAGACAAAATATATAACTCCGGGGAAACAGCCGTGTCAAAAGTAATCTTTTGCATGTCTAAAACATTTGAAAATACACTAGCTATCCTTCCTTTGTTATCGCCCAAAACAGCACTAGCAAATACAAAGAGACCAGCATACAGCACGGAATTCATGCGTCCTCATCACATCCTACAGAACCGCGAACTAAATTTAGATGCAAAAACATAAAACGTCAGTTTGCTTCTCTTCGACAAATTGCAGTATCAATGAAGGGTCACAGATAGCTGAAGAAAGCCTCTATAACGTTAATACTTACTTGCCGCATCAGAGTGCATTTTTATGAAACATACAACTGTCTGTGGGAAGTCCGCAGACCGGCCAATAGGCGGGCCTTGTCCACGTAAACCCCGCCCGCGGAGTATGATTGAAAATCAGCCCGTGCGCGCTCCGCCTTTGTCGCTGACAATTGGCTATGCAGGACGTCATGTCAGGAGAATGAGTAAAAGCAGACGTAGACCCCTGTCTTTGCACAAATATGGTTGGTCAGAGTTCCTAAACAGGTTGCGCTACCCTGTGATGTATTGGGCTAGAGAGTTTTATGTGCACGTCAATCACCAGAATTTCCTCGTGCAAGCCTGACGTTTTCCCATGATGGAATCTGATTGGTCAATTTTGTCATAACTTGACCTCCCGTGAAGTCACTGTTTGGGTGCGTTTATTATTAATCACCCTGGGCAGGCGGCGGTGGTTCGCGTGCGTTTGGAAATGTCAATTATGTCTCGTTTTATGAATACTCTGTAGAAATCAACTGCGCAACTGTTGTCTGTCCACGCGTGGACACGAGGTTAGTTGAAATGTGGGACGTTAGTAGAGGCCCTGTCACTTTGTTCTGTTCCGTTATTAAGGTGTGTGATTTGTTGCTCAGTTCTTAATGGGTTCTGTAGGCAATTGTATGTTTGTAAATATGATGTTCAAAAAAAAAAATAAATAGTGGAGGCCCTGTCTCCTATAATGCTTCAGTTCCTGTGTCAAGTCTAGTAGCCGTGCTTGTCAGGTGACTGGAGGCGCTAATTATGGGGCAAAACGGACGGATATATACAGTGTGTTGCTACTTTGTTGGGTTAGGGTTTTTTTTTCCTGTAACACTAAGATAAATTGTGATTCTCTAGAACTGCTCCACTAGTTGTATGGATGCTGAATCAGCATTCATGCTTCTATTCAGAACCTTTCTAAACTCCATATTTCTTCAATATGTAGCTTTATTGTGAAAGGTTTGCACCATTCAAAAGAATGGGGAAATTCTACTTCAGCATACTTTCAGCTAGCAAAACCATTCAGGTGTCAAAGTCTTCGGCATATCCAGGGCGATCTTTCAGCAATTCGCATCCACACGCATTTTCGGCAGGAAATGCAGTTTTCTTACAATTATTCTGGTTTCTTCCATCTGTTTTTTGGCACTTAATTTTTTCAGCATACTTTCAGCTATGAAAACCGTTCAGGTATCAACATGTTCAACTTTTTAAGGACATTTATACTATTATTTTTCTTGTTTCTAACCTTTATACTTTTTAAACTATTTAGTGTCTTTCAGCATATGTAGCTTTATTTTGAAAGTTTTGCACCATTCAAATGAATGGGGAAATTCTAGCTCAGAATACTTTCAGCTGTTAAAATGTTCAGCTCTTCAAGAACATTCATGCTTCTATTCAGAACCTTTCTAAACTCCATATTTCTTCAATATGTAGCTTTATTGTGAAAGGTTTGCACCATTCAAAAGAATGGGGAAATTCTACTTCAGCATGCTTTCAGCTAGCGAAACCATTCAGGTGTCAAAGTCTTCGGCATATCCAGGGCGATCTTTCAGCAGTTCGCATCCACACGCATTTTCGGCAGGAAATGCATTTCTCTAGTTATTATTCTGGTTTCTTCCATCCGTTTTTTGGCACTTAATTTTTTCAGGCTACTTTCAGCTATGAAAAACATTCAGGTATCAACATGTTCAATTTTTTAATGACATTTATGCTTGTATACAACGTTTTTATAACTTTTATACTTTTTAAACTATTTAGCTTCTTTCAGCAAATTTTTGCCCATTCAAATGAATGGAAAAATTCTACTTCAGCATACTTTCAGCTATTTCAGGTATCAAAATGTTCAGCTCTTCAATGACATTCATGCTTCTCTTCAGGATTTTTCTAAACTTAATACTTTTGAAATATTTAGCTTTATTTTGAAAGTTTTGCCCCATTCAAATGAATGGGAATATTCTACTTCTCTTTCAGCTATATCATTAAAATATTCAGCTCTTCAAGGACAGTTTTCTAAACTTCATACTTTTGAAATATTTAGCTTTATTTTGAAAATCTTGCTCCATTCAAATGAATGGGAAAATTCTACTTCAGCATAATTTCAGCTATTAAAATGTTCATCTCTTCAAGGACATTCATGCTTCTCTTCAGAATTTTTTTGAACTTCATACTTTTGAAATATTTAGCTTTATTTTGAAAATCTTGCTCCATTCAAATGAATGGGAAAATTCTACTTCAGCATAATTTCAGCTATTAAAATGTTCATCTCTTCAAGGACATTCATGCTTCTCTTCAGAATTTTTTTGAACTTCATACTTTTGAAATATTTAGCTTTATTTTGAAAATCTTGCTCCATTCAAATGAATGGGAAAATTCTACTTCAGCATAATTTCAGCTATTAAAATGTTCATCTCTTCAAGGACATTCATGCTTCTCTTCAGAATTTTTTTGAACTTCATACTTTTGAAATATTTAGCTTTATTTTGAAAATCTTGCTCCATTCAAATGAATGGGAAAATTCTACTTCAGCATAATTTCAGCTATTAAAATGTTCATCTCTTCAAGGACATTCATGCTTCTCTTCAGAATTTTTTTGAACTTCATACTTTTGAAATATTTAGCTTTATTTTGAAAATCTTGCTCCATTCAAATGAATGGGAAAATTCTACTTCAGCATAATTTCAGCTATTAAAATGTTCATCTCTTCAAGGACATTCATGCTTCTCTTCAGAATTTTTTTGAACTTCATACTTTTGAAATATTTAGCTTTATTTTGAAAATCTTGCTCCATTCAAATGAATGGGAAAATTCTACTTCAGCATAATTTCAGCTATCTGTATTTTGAAAATCTTGCTCCATTGAAATGAACGGGGAAATTGTACTTCTGCATAATTTCAGGTATCAAAATGTTCAGCTCTTCAAGGACATTCATGCTGGGGTGTGTATAAAAATCACACTGTAAAAGTTAAATTCATTATAAAACTTTGATTTATAAACAAGCAATTAACTGCTTGTAATTCTTAGTGTAGTGTTTATTAGTTTTAAAAGACCATGATGCTTTGTTGAATAACAGCAAACTATAAAAGATATACTAATAAAGACATGTTTGTGAAAACTTCATAAGTGGGTTTTGCAAATAAATTTGTTTTTAAAAATGGTTGTTGAATGTTAGTGTTAGCATTTGCTGGGAATTTAACATAATATGAACTTCATACTTTAAAAATATTAAGCTTTATTTTGACAAACTTACTCCATTCAAATGAATGGGGAATTTTACTTCAGCATAATTTTAGGTATCAAAATGTCGAACTCTTCAAGGACATTCATGCTTCTATTCAGAATATTTCTGAACTCCATACTTTTGAAATATTTAGCTTTATTCTGAAAATCTTGCCCCATTCAAATGAATGGGGAAATTATACTTCAGCATTCTTTCAGCTATATCATTAAAATATTCAGCTCTTCAAGGACAGTTTTCTAAACTTCATACTTTTGAAATATTTAGCTTTATTTTGAAAATCTTGCTCCATTCAAATGAATGGGAAAATTCTACTTCAGCATAATTTCAGCTATTAAAATGTTCATCTCTTCAAGGACATTCATGCTTCTCTTCAGAATTTTTTTGAACTTCATACTTTTGAAATATTTAGCTTTATTTTGAAAATCTTGCTCCATTCAAATGAATGGGAAAATTCTACTTCAGCATAATTTCAGCTATTAAAATGTTCATCTCTTCAAGGACATTCATGCTTCTCTTCAGAATTTTTTTGAACTTCATACTTTTAAAATATTTAGCTTTATTTTGAAAATCTTACTCCATTCAAATGAATTTTGAAAATTTTACTTCAGGATACTTTCAGCTCTTTCAGCTATCAAAATGTTCAGCTCTTCAAGGACATTCATGCTTCTCTTCAGAAGTATTCTAAACTTCATACTTGTAAAATATTTAGCTTTATTTTGAAAAAAATTGCCCCATTCAAATGAATGGGCAAATTCTACTTCATCATTCTTTCAGCTATTTCAGGTATCAGACTGTTCAGGTCTTTAAAGACATTCATGCTTCTATTCAGAACTTTTGTAATCTTCATACTTTTGAAGTATATAGCTTTATTTTGAAAACCTTGCCCCATTCAAATGAATGGGGAAATTTTTACTTTTGCATACTTTCAGCTATTAAAATGTTCAGCTCTTCAAGGACATTCATGCTTCTCTTCAGACATTTTCTAAACTTCGTACTTTTGAAATATTTAGCTTTATTTTGAAAATCTTGCTCCATTCAAATGAATGGGAAAATTCTAATTCAGCATAATTTCAGCTATTAAAATGTTCAGCTCCTTAAGGACATTCATGCTACTATGCAGAACTTTTGTGAACGTCATACTTTTGAAATATTTAGCTTTATTTTGAAAATCTTGCCCCATTCAAATGAATGGGAAAATTCTACTTCGGCCTACTTTCAGCTATTTCAGCTATCAAAATGTTCAGCTCTTCAAGGACATTCATGCTTCTCTTCGGAAGTTTTCTAAACTTCATACTTTTGAAATATTTAGCTTTATTTTGAAACACTTGCCCCATTCAAATGAATGGGAAAATTCTACTTCAGCATAATTTCAGCTATCAAAATGTTCAGCTCCTGAATGACATTCATGCTTCTCTTCATAATTTTTCTAAACTTCATACTTTTAAAATATTTAGCTTTATTTTGAAAATCTTACCCCATTTAAATAAATGGGGAAATTCCAACTTCAGTATACTTTCAGCTAGTAAAAGCATTCAGGTGTCAAAATATTCAGCATTTTCAGGGTGATTTTTCAGCACTTAGCATCCATATGCATTTTCTTCAGAAAATGCAATTTTCTAGTTAGCTAGTAAATTGAATATTTGACTGAGAGTAGGTAACACAAGTTGACCAGTCTGAATGCCACCATTTTCAGTAAATTTATAGAGGGCCCTGCCTTAAATGTGTAGCTTTGCAAACTGAGTGCTGGGTAGACCTACTCCGCTGCAAAGGCTGTCTGCTGAATGTATTAATACCACTACTTCTGTTGTTGGTGTCCACAAGGGTAGTGCTTTGCTTTTGCAGTGGCAATACTTTACAGTGGTGACACCTAAGTACAGCCTGAAATACAATTATGAGGTTGCCTACTTTACTTGATATTTCCTGTTTCAACTTTATGCCCATCAATACATTTTAGAGACAAATGTATTAATTACATTCTGCCCCACTACATTTATCTGCCAGCTGGCTACTAGTTTTTTTTTTTTAATGCAAAGCACTTTTTAATACAAATAAATATATCTATATAGAGTTAACTATCTAAAATAGTTTTCAATAGCTTTGCCTAAGCCTACAACATTATGGTGATAATTAAGTAAAATCTTGAATGCAGAACATTTACTTGTACTGGTGGAGCCTATTTTACATTGTAGTATGTTACTTTTACTTAAGCATCTAAATACATCTTCCACCTCTGACAATTTATTCTGAATGGATAGTGTCACAAGCATTTTATTTTAATTTTTAGTTTGTTTCTCTACACCAGCTGCATAAATGCCTTATGCAGTGAGGCTTGTGATTGGCATGATCTAGCAATTTTATTCTCATGAAAAATATGTTTTTCTATTTGTTCTATTCTGTTTTGTTAGTTCTGTTCAAAGTAGTGTATGTTGGCTGGGCTTAAGATGAGACTGATACTGGCTTGACCCTGCATTTACTGTATTGGGCAATTCTTCAGAATTTGTGCTTCAAGAAAATAAGAATAGTCAGTACTAAAATGAATAGTGGATTTGCTGAATAGTAAGAGCTTGTTCTGTAACTGAAGAACAAGAGTAATCTTGTTATAATGTCTGAGCAAGACAGTGAATGAGAATGAATATGTGCCAGTACAGAAGTCATTGCCCATGGTGCAACCTATCCCAGTGATAAAGTAGGTGGGGAGTAAAGAAACTTTGCAACATGTCATCATCTCATGCAGGAAAGTTATGTTCTCCTGGTATTCTTAACATAGCTTTTTCTCTCATATTATTGCTTGTTACTGTTTCCTCTGAAACCCCGTTAAACCCTGTTAGCCCACCATATTGGCAAAATGTTATATTGCCTTGTTTGTATGTATATTTTTAATAAAACGTATTTTAAAAAAGGGGGGAAATCCCATGCAGGAAATACACGGTGGAGATTACTAAAGAGGTTGGGATGGTCACAGACCGCTTTAAAAAATATTTTAGAATATGTAAGTCGTGGGGAGGGCAGAGGGTTTCTGCATGTAGTGATGGCAACGGGACAAATAATCGATTATAGAGGAAGAGACAGAGACGACAACTACAGACAGAAGGTGGCAGTAAAGCACCATTAGTACTGCCGTAAAAGCCCAACGAAGAAGGAGTAGGGCCGCCATACTTCCGTGTGTTAGCCCGATTTCTACAGAAGAAGAAGAAGAAGAAGTAGAAGAAGTAGAAGAAGTAGAAGAAGAAGGGGGTAGATCGCTGGTTTTATTTAAACCACTGAGAGGATAAGTGTACGCATTTGAGAACGCTGCAAAGTAGGCTAAGGGTCCCGAGAAGATTGCTGGAAGCTCCTTTACCATGAGTTCTGAAAAATCTGGAGACACTATAACAGTGGAGACAGCTGCTGCTACTGGTCCAGCTGCATTGAAATGGGGGTTTAAGGTGAGAGGCAACTGTAGGACCCAGTCCTTGCTACCATTGCTAACTCTGAGAGACGAGACAGTCCAAGTAACTTCAAAACAGTGCTGATTTATTCAAAGGATCACAGGTAAAATTAACATTACACGCTCAGATATCTTGCACCTCCAAATTGCTCGCAGGCAGATGTAAGATGAAAGACCCTGAACCCACCAGGCCTATACATTATATCCCCTCGGTTGGGCTAGCCCACATGTCGTGTCTTAAACATAAGAACATATTATGGCTAAGGCTACAGTTATACACGTCATTATAATAATATTAACACCCTGTCTGCTGACAGTCATCAACTCTTCTCTCTAGTTATCCTTGACCAGATGTACCCTGTAGAAACTCATAAGCATGACTAAGCATTTAACAGTCTAACTAGACATCCTATCTCCACTAAACATTTCTAATACATTAACTATCTATCTGACTAAAAATATCTAACACAACAAATGGCCCCAGTGACCCATAACAGGCCACATGTGACACCTAACTTAATTGTGCATCTTTACAGTGCCCCCTGAGTGATCCTAACATTCAGAGAGATGATGTGAGAAAGGTCTGGAAAGAATGCCAGGAAGAAAGCTTCTGGTACAGAGGTGAATACTTTTACCATTTACCTTTCTTTAGCCATTGCAGCAACTTGGGAACAAAAAACACAGGACACGCTCTGTGTTCTTGAGACTGTTTTATGTGCACACACTACTAGGAGATCATATTATTGGGGGCCACATACTGAATCTGAAAAGAAGAATGTCAGCATGCGAGGTGAGCCCTACCCCACTGCTCCCACTACAGCAGACTTTTGCACTACCTGGAAGAATAGTCATAAAATGGTCTCAAGAACACAGAGCAGCACATTGAATAGCCTAACTGCTCCTAAAAAAAGCCAATTTAGTGAATACAAATATAATGTTTTTAGGGTGTCATTGATCACACTGATCACTATGACTTAATGCTTTCCTAGCAGGGGATACAAGAGAGACTGAATTGATGCTTCTCAAAAACACAGTTAAGAATCTGGCATCTCAGAAACTCCAGTAGGAGGCCCTCCATGTCAAATGGCTACTCCTCTCTGTGATCAGAATTCTACAAAGGGAGACTGTGTTTTTTTTGTAATTCTGACACCATGCCTCAGGTTGGCTTACTGTGATGGTTTTTAGGATGTTGGTGTGCTTATGGATATCACTGCTTGTCCGTGTCCTTTTTATGTATCTACACATGCACACATACTATCTATAAATGCACGCATCGTGTTTAGGTATAGGCCTATGTACTGTATGTGTATTGATGTGTACATGCAGTATGTGTATGTAAACTTATATTGTATATCAGAACTGTTTTGGTAACTTTGTCACAGAACAGAACTTTCTGCTTGTACTAGTGAAGTCCCCCAAATGTACACAGATACCCTAAAGTGAATCCTAAAGTGACATGCTTCAATAAATGTAACAAAACTAACAGGGGTTTCATTGATATGTCAGTCATGTACACCCACACAGCTCAGATGCCACTGACAGAGCAGAGGTGTAGGTTACTCAGAACAGAATACTGCCAGAATGCACTGTTTCAGCTAAGATTAAGATTCCACAAACTGAAATCCAGGTTTTATGCATTAGCACTTTGGCCTGTCCCTGATTTTCTGATCACTGTCAGCCATGCAGCTCCTGCTTGTGACCTCTCACCGACCACTTGTATAAACAAATGGCAACAGACAGTACTTCCTGAGAGATCAGTCCTGTGCTTTCTCTCAAATTAGGTCAATGAATTATTGAGTCTCACCACTGCACAGGTCAAAGTTCAATCAATTCAACCTGTTTTTTGAAAGAAAGTTGTATGGAAAATGTAGGCCTAATGAATCAAACATTACTCTAACTTCTCTACAGTTATGTCTCCATGTGTCTATTACTGTATGGGTTTTTTCAGCTCCAGACCAGTCATGTCTGACCATGTTTTATTTCTTTATTCAGCTCTTCCCCTTTCTCTGGGCAGCATGGCTGTAACAGGTGGTCTCATCTACAAAGGTGAAGTACAAACATTCAAACCGTGTGTTTACCTCGTATCATACTGTATGAGATACAGTATATAAAAACATAATTTTTTTTAGTTATCCCATTAGATTAAATTCAGATTTATGTCTGTCCAGGCATTTGGAGCTCATCAAAGCGATTTGGTCCCTTTCCAAAGCTAGCAGGTATATTGGATTTCAGTTTGTAAGTAACAGTGTATTTTTACAATCCCACAGTGATCACTGGTCCCTGACTATTTTTTTTTTAATTTTCAGTTGCTGGGATCCTTGGTTATGCATTGGGGAAAGCATCTTATGTTGGAACTTGTCAGAACAAGTTTCAGAAGCTTGGCGTTAGTGTTGGACCAGGATTTGGACCCTGGCCTGGTCCTGGACGCAGGTTGGGAAAACGCTGAATTTGTAGACTGTTATGTTGTCACTGCAGAGGCTTATCTAGAAACGTGGTGCTATTTAACTTACTAATGTACACACATTGTGTCAATAATTAGTAGAAAAATGACTAACATAGCATTTTATACAGCTATGTTGTCATTTGGCAAGAACTAATTGATAAAAGGCCAAAACATCAACCTAGACATGAGCAAACAATTTAAGAAAGAATTTAATTCATTAATGAATTTCCTGCCTAATCAAGCTGTAAAACTGGTGGTCTTTGTGCCCCAGCACTTCTTGTCAGTAAAATTTAAATAATAGACCTATGTAATAACACCACACAGCAGCTTCCCACTGACATAGCTGATGGAAATGCACATTAAATTTGTCTCACTCCCTGTGTCAAAAAGTCAAACCTGTTTTTATCAACCAGTTCTTCTGCTCTTGTTATCTCTATAAACAGTAAGGTTCTAACAAAACTACTAATTCCTTTGAAGCAATTGCCCAACAATTCAGACTGAGTGCAAACTGTCCCTTAATTGTTGCTTCAGATGAAGAGGAATGAATGATTGTTTGAGATATGTCACTGAATGTTATCCCATCAGATCTTGCAACCATGTGTGTGAAGAATGTAAGAAAACAGCTCACACTGCACCTGCAGAGGAAATGAAAAGCTAGAGGTAAATAGACCCTATGTTAGCATAGCTATAAAACATATATAGTGCACACAACTCTGAAGCTAATAAAAACAAGTTAGTGCACAGTCTAGGTAAGTTGTCTGGGTGCTATGCAAAATAAACACAAGTACAAACAAGTAAAATATCAAATCATTATATAATGGCAGATCTGCCCAATATAAAACACATTTTGCCACATGTGTCACAGTATTTGAGTATTTATTTCCTTTATTCCTGTGTAGAGATTTCTACATTAACATAATGATGTTAAAATCACCTGGATGCTCTGTTAATAGGTTCCTTTCATTTTTCAGCCTCATCAGAAATGCCGCAGGACTGACTGTCAGTGTGGATCCAAGGTGGCAGCATTTCTGCATTATAAACACCACATAATATTGTATCATTTATAATGTGAAACAATACACAATAGTGCCACTAGAGGGGGCTACTCTCTTTTCTGTCAGATCTTTTTTTCTTGGGGTTTCCAGTTTGATATGAACAAGTCTGGCTTTATTTGCAGGAGCATAGAATCTCTTGCATGATAAAAGCAAAAGGAAAAAAAGATAAAGCGTAAATCATATAGTTTAATTATCTGTCAAACACGGTGGCAATTCTGTTATGGCTTGCGCTTGTAAAGGCTGGCAATGGAAGTGGTAAACTGACATTTATTGATGATGTCACTAATGACAGAAGCAACAAAATAAATGCAGAGGTGTACAGGAACAATCATCCAAAGAGCTTTTCAGGGTGAAGAGGTAGAATATCCTTCAGTGAGTCAATCACTTGTTGAAGACCAAACTAAAGGCAGAGAGAATCTACAACAAGCAAAGCTGAGGGACACTGTAGTGAAAGAGAAGTGTCTGCTGATGTCTATGGCCTGAAGACCTCAGGCAGACACTGACTGCATAGGCTTTTTCACCAAATATTAATTCTGGTTTTGTTTGACTTAATATGCAGTATATTTGCAGTTATTTCTGAACTCTCAAATTTATGGTATTATGTGTTAGTAATAATTACTATATCTCTCATACAGTTCTTTCTGTATTGATGTAAAGCTACTCTAATTAACCTGAAGCTTTGCACTTTAATGCAGTATCCTTTTTTTCAAGTTTAATGTAATAAAACACTTGGCCTGAAATTAAAGTTTATTTGTCCAAATACTTTTGTTCTGGGTTGTAAATTCTTTAATCACAATGGATAGATTTTAAGAACGTAGATTTTGTGTGACTTTTAAAATGTAGTTCTGCATCATGATTTCTAACTTGTTTGTATAATTTTTTGGTGAGAGAATTTTGAAGTTGAGCACTTTCTTGATAAATTGTATCACACAATTGCACTTGCTGAGCAGTTCCATGAGACCATACAGTTATGTGGACATGAGTGCTAATGTTATAACTAGGGTAAGAGATGTTGTTTTGCTTAAACTGAGCTAGTCGAAGGGAGCCAGTAGAGGTTGTTTTTGTCGTTTCATGTCTCCTGGGCAACTTCCATTGGAGGTTTTCTGGGCACGTCCCACTGTTGGAAGGCCCAGGGGTAGGGCTGAGACTATCAAAACATGATCAGAACTCATATATTATTTAGTATTTATAAGAAATATATACAATATGTAATCACTTTTTAGGTATTGGATATTTATCAATGTGTTTACACTTTGTCTCCCCAACTTTGTAAACATATTTGTAACAGTGTAACAGCTATAGTCATTTGTAATGATATGACAGATCCTTTTCATTAGGTGTTATAATTGTTAACAAATACACAAATAAACCTTAAGAAGTCTTTAAGACCTGCTTACAACGACTTTATAGCGTGTTGTTTAGGCTATAAATATGAAACGGGGATAATGTTACCATGGCATTTTAGATGCGAGTTCTCTAATTTTGAAATGCAGTAAATGAGTAAAGTCAAGAGTCTGCTGTTAATGATGTAATATGTCTAAGTGTAGCTCACAGAATTTTTATATTAATAAAACTACCTATGTGTAGTGTACCAGCACAACATATTGGTACACGTCTTCAAGATACCTGTGGACCAAACCTGTCACTGGTCCACTATAACTTGTGTCCTTCCAGTACCCGCCTAGCTGTGCATGTTTCGGTGTACGCCGGTCGAAATAAACACTGAACCCATGTGAATGTTACCCCCCCCAGGGACGTCAGCCAATCAACAGCTCGCTTGCTTCGGATTGCCACACATTTGGTGAAATAGCAACCTCTATCTTATGTAGGCGTACTCCATTCTAGCCAATCGTAATTAATGGGGGCGGGACTAACAAGCTTGCCGTCTGTTCTGACAGTGAAGCTCTCTCAGCGCTGAAACAGACAGAAAAAAAAATCACACCACTACCCAAATCCTTCCAATGGAGGAGGGCCAAGACGTTGAAGCTTGTTCGGCAAATGAAAAGAACGTCTGCAAGCTAACGTCCTAGCTCAAGCAAAGAGAGAAGAAATAAAGTTGTGAGTAAAATCATCTTAACGAATGCTGAAATAATTAAAGACACGGCGGTCGCTATCTAAAGTGTTTAATGTTGGCTTACAGTCAAGTTCCGTGATTAACTTTGCCTTTGAGGTTAATGTTAGCTTTCCAACTGCGGTGTCATAACTGGCTGCTGTAGCATCGTAAACGGAGTTTGGCCATACTCCCCCTGCTAGTGTGAGTTCATCGCCTAGCCACCTCAACGTTACAAGTTAAATCGTGAGCACCATTCAGACTCCTTTTGTCATTAACCTTAGTTTTATCGCTGCCAGATAATTAGCACGGCTGTTAACGTGTTATCATACTAACGTTAGCATGTGAACGTTAACTTATAGTTGACAATTGGCTGGTTTGCTAAATGAAGTTGCTGCTGCTTCTGTTGCTTGCTAGCCTTCTGCTCAAATGAGCTAACTTAGCAGTTTGCTCAATACAATAACTTATCAACACACCGGGCTAGTTGCTAACTATAAGCTATCGTGAACATTACCCTGTTATACTTTCGTTCGTTTTTCTATTTTTGTTCATAGTTTCGTCTTGATGGTAAAAAAAAAAACTATTCGTGTCAGAAAAAAAAACTAACAAAATTGTGTGGAATGTTTACCTACAGTGACTTACCAAATAATCACACACACGGTTGACCTAACAATGTTTTTTTAATGCAGTCGATTTATCTGGGACATTGAAGTAAAGCTGCGTTTTGTTGCTATGTATAAAAGAGCACTTGTTTGTGGGAGGTACACTTGAATGGACTGAGCCATTTTGCCCAAGTATGGTGGTTCTTGTGCATTGGCATAACAGTTGGAGAACTGTCAGCATTGCATCTGACATTCCTCTGAAGACTTCATTCTTTGGTGCAGAGTGCATCGGACATACAATGAAACATTTGTTCGTTTTCTTTAGAGACCCAGGCAGTGGTACTTGGATACAGACAGAGTGGAATCTGGTCAGTCCGCTGTGTAACTGGAGGTGGAGGTGGAGCTGGCCAGAGTGTTTTGGTTGAAAACAGAATGACAGAAGAAAAGTTTGTGTTTTTTATGAGTCCACAGGAGGGTGGACTATGTTCTGAGTAACTGTGCATATTTTTATGAAAATGTTGGATCAGAGTCATTCAGTATATATGCTGTAGTAGCCTTTTTATGTACAGTTTTACATTAGGGGTAAACACAGATCCTTTTTTTTTTGTTTATTTTCCTGCAGTTTAATGTCAGTTGGCTACTGTAGTTAATCTAATGTGATCTCTTAAGAAGTGGTGCACCAATGAGTGAGCATTTTATACCCTTGACTTTTCAGTGTTGTATTAACCCAGGTGTACTAGACCATTTGTCTCTGTAACAGACTGATGGGCTCCTCATCCTGGCCAGGATAAGCCTCTGATGGCAGTGCAGATGTGTGATATATTCTCATGTACACACACAGACTAGAGGGAATCCCCCTATATTGCAGATAGGGATCTATCTGTGGTTTTCTGAGGCATAATTCCAGTGAAGTAGTGTGTTTGGTTTAATCCAGTAAGACATTAATGGCATTGAAGTGTATGGGAATAAAAAAACCAAGCTCTATAACACACACACACACACACACACACACACACACACACACACACACACACACACACACACACACACACACACGATGGCCCCTCACTAAGCTGCCTCTTGGAAAGATTAACTGTTAACTCAGCATTTCAGTAGTGACTACAAGAATGGTATACAGTAGGGAAACATCTCAGTTTCTTAAGCGGTGTTTTATCTAACAATCCATCTGATCCAAAAATGTGGTTGCTTGGGGGTCTTGTGGTATGAACTCTGCAGTAGTGATCATTTGCAACAGGTTTTTGCATGTCATATTACCAGCAGCCAGCAGACTAGCATCTATTTCCCCCTTGCAATTTATTTTCTTTTTTCTGTTCCTAGCATATACCTTGGTTCTAAGGAACCAATCAAACACCAGGTGTCCTTTACATGGGCTTGAAACATGCAACTGCACAAATAATGGCTAGTTAATTTTCTCCAACAGCTGCTTCAGTGCCCCTTGACCTTTCACCAGTTCACCTGGTTCCTTATGGGCAGCTCTGATATTTTGATGTACCAACCACTTCCTCTGTATGCTGGCATTCATCTTTATGATATGATTGCCCTGCATTGAACATTGCACCCAAGTCAAAATGTATCCATGGAGCACTTAAGCAGGTGCTGTCTTCTTTCATGCTGCTTGTGGGAAATTCACATTGTGCAATAAAGGCTGCCTGAGAAACGGTGAAGATGAGAATATTCATGACTTGGTAAATGATTGAAAATGATAGTTCAAATTGGGAGAGTGACAGAAATTAAAGTGGGTAGTTTCTTTGCATTTGATAGTAGCCTACTTAAGTCAGATTAATAGAATGATTGTTTTGTGTGTGTGTTTCTTCATGAGTGGTGGTTGTGTGATGTTTTGGAAAATAGCGGTTTGTCACCATCTCTCAGACCTTCATCAAGTTAACTTCCAAATGTTTCCTCCACTTCCCTGTGTGGTGTACTTTAAAGCACAGCAGTACTTACTCTGATTTACATGGGTTTGGCATTCTTTTCATTGATTGCGTTGAAAGACTTGTAGTCCGCAATAAGGTTTAGCTAGAAATAACCTATAATTGAGCCCTGCTGAGGAACATTAGCCTTGGCTTTGGGAGAGAGGGTTAGAGCACAACTTATGTTTGGGTCTGCCTTGGCCAAAGAAACAACCCTGTCTTTGCCCTCAAGATGGCCTCAGCTGAGTCGTCAGTGTTTCTGCCATGTTTAGATCCAGTTGCAGTACATTAATTCCTAATTTTTCTGGCTATATATGCAGCCCAGAGCAACATAAAGATCAGAGGACTATCTGTTGAAACACACAAAAATGTATTTGCTTTTGCACTTCCTTTTGTATTTGGAAGAAGCCAGTAATGTTTCTGCTTAAGAAGTAGTGATTACAACAGCCAGGCCTGTCATTTAGTATTGCAAGCACTGGGAGCCAGATATGGACTCTTTCTTCTTTGTCCATTTTAGTCTAGTTTACTGCCTGTTTTTCCATTTTGAATTACCTCAAATTCTGTAAAACAAGTACAAAAAATTGATTGCTTTGGGGCTGACAGTCTTGCATCCTTGCTGCAAAATCTCAGGCTAGATGAAGTCAGGATAACTATTAAACAGATCAGTGTTGCTGTCCTGACCTTAAGCTCTGGTTGTGTGGTGCAGTTACACCAAAATATGCAATGCTTAAACTAATTAAAGTTACACAGATCTAGTAAAACTTTGATTTGTTAGAATTGGTGAGCTGTAGTGAGATATACAGTATATGTATGCAATGCCAGAGAAATGCATGTTTTTGAGTGCTTAAACATAGAGCAGGAGCATAGTGTGTGGCTGTTTTTGCTACAGTGTTGAGGATGTGCACAGGGTTTGGCTTACCGTTTTTCTGTGGTAACAGTTTTTTGTTTTTTTGGAGTTGCTACTTTGGAACAGGAAGTCAGATGTGTTATTCACAGGTCTGTCAGCATGAGAAGTGAGTGATTGCGTCTGAGAAAAATGTTTTTTTTTTTCCTTTTTCTGCTGTGTTGGAGGTGGGTGATATAAGGTACGTGACGCTATGTCACACTGACATGACATTTGGACCATTTAAGGTTTCTGTTTTGACTTGATTTGACTACTCTGACCTGTTCTCACCATCTGTCCACAGTACTAAAGTGGAAGTTCTCACACCTCAACTTTTCTGTCTGGCTGCTTTGTGACTCAGTGGCTTGTCCTTCCTTCCTTTGTTTAGCTACAGTTTGATAGCGGTTATATGGTTTTAGCCTTCTGCACTTCTTCTTTCATTTATGCTAGTATAATTTCACTTGATTGTGGTCATGTACTTTTTCCTACTCTTTTTTAACCTTTAAAAAAAAAAAAAAAAGCTATAAATTTATTGCACTCTGCTCTGAGACAGACAGACAGTTTTTATGACTGAATATGAGATTACCTGACTGTAAAAGTATCCCTTTTGGAAGGAAAGTGCAATTTTGGAGGCTGTGCTTGCTTATGTAACTGCCTCTTGGTTGTAGTGGGTAATCTTCAGATTATTGCTCCGCTCAGGAGGAGGTTTTAATCCTATCCTAATACAGCGCAAATCAGAATGAAGCCAAGAGTAGGTCAGCATATCACTTTACCGTTACTGAGGTTGTACTATCCAACAGCATTCTGCCTTTACAGCTATATGGATGCACATTATGTTGTTCTTTGTCACAGCAAAACTTAAGAATGTATATTAAAGTTTAAGGCATAAGTGCTGAAAGGTGTGACTTCAGGTTATATTAATGTTTTGTTACTACTAGTCAAATCTTCATTGGATCTACCGCAAAGTTCAGAATAAGGGGATCTTTTGTGTTTTGTAGTACAACATAACTGGTTTTCCTTCTGACTTTTATTTTTGCCAGTTGTTGGTTGAAGCATAATTTGTGTGCTTTCTGTTTCTTGTGCAGTAAAATTGTGGACCCTCCTTTCTCTCTCCAGTTCCAGCCCCTGCCCTATGGCCTTAAGGTATGTCACACGTGTTGAGTGGGTTGTGTTTTACTATGTACTGTGGTTTAGGTTTTACAGAAATTTCATGCTAAGTAGTGTGGAAATGAACAGTGTGTTGGATAAATCTTTGTTTTGCTGAATTCCAAAAGAAGCACAGCAGAGTTTTCAGTCTTTTCTAGCTAGCATTTGTTTTCTCCCTCAGCTTGGGTAGCTTTACATAAGCATGAATAAATGTCCATAAACACTCAAAGCGCTTTCACACTATTTGGCCATTCACACTCCCAAACGCTCACACATTCATACACCGGTGACATCACCGGGAGAAACTGGGGGTTCAGTGTCTTGCTCAAGGACACTTTGACATATGGACTGGACAAGCCAGGAATCAAACTGCTAATCTTCTGGTCAGGAGATGACCCGCTCTACCTCCTGATCCACAGCCACCCCCAATAATATCAGACTTGCATAATGTGAGATTAAATAGTGGAGCTCTTAGAGAGTCATAATTTAACATTGACTGAAGTTGTTAGACAGATTTTGATCCATGACAGCCCTTTTGATCCTTGAATCTCTATAACTTGGCATGACTTTGAGCCCATGGCATGCTCATTTCCAGTTATTTAATGTTTAATCTTTGGTATGTCTAGATTAGCTTTGCACCCCTCATAACTTCAAATTTTTTCAGAATCATAAAACCAAAGAGCGTCTTCCTAAAAATGAGAGGATAGTTCATGAACGTGCACAACTCCTGTTGCTGGTGTTTTGTTGAAAGTGGACAGCACAACGAAATGCAATGGCATTAATTAATTAGAATTTCTCCTCCATAGATAGGTAAACAGTGTTATATGTATCAATGAAAAGAGATGTGTAACACTAAACAAAGCAGGTAATTGAGAAACCCCATATTTCAACTGGCATAATGCAGACATAGTAACTTCTCCAGCCTTACAACAATTCTCTGTTACAGAAGCAAGGCATTAACAGACATGCAACCTGTTGTTGTTTTTTTTTTTTTTTTTTTTATTTTACTGCGTCCCCCTGAATGTAGACACACTGGCCTCAAGCAGTCAACAAACAGGTACTGTGCTCAGGGGGAATCCAGAGTTGATGAGCTGATCATTCACCTCCCCAGGGTGCTTCACTTTCCGGCTGCTTGTAGATTAGACCTGGTCAGGTAAAATAGCCAGTCCCTGTACAGGAACATTCTCAGATATGCAGTAACCTCAGGCCCTTTATTTTTCTCCACATCCTCTGGTCACAGTGCAGAAGCAGGAGGTAAAATATATCCACAGAAGGCAGTCGAAAAACTCAGCTTTTAAAATGGTATCAGTGGATGTCAGGCAAGCTCACATGAATGTGCAACGGCCTGGAGACCATTCAAGGAAATATTTTAAGGTAATTTCAAGGTAATACTTTAATTTGTTAGGAAAAAAGCAAGAGTTTGCGAGGTGTATAAACTGAGTTGCTTCTGCATTGAAGTGCTACAGCACCTCATTTTTTGAGCTTTAGGTCACATCTAAGATGATAATTCACTGTTGTAACATTGTAGATAAATCAAAAACAAGGAAAATCATGCCATAAACTCTTAAGAAAAAACAAGTTGCATGTAAAGGAGCAAGCATAATATCTCTAAAATTGACATTATTCCAACTGGCCCAAAACATACTTTGTGCAAGTGATGCTTTAAGCTCCATAAAATCAATTTCATGTGTTGTATTCTTGAGTGTGTCACCTGAAATTCCTAACATGAAGCAAGCTTGAGCTGCAGTCTTAGCGTTGCCACTAGTGGGCACGATAGCATGAAACAACAAGAGAAAGATTTTCCCTTGTTTTTCAGAGCAACCATTTTGACAAACCTCTAGCTGAATGTATAGACATACTGAATTTATGATACATCATCATCTCCTCTTTCAATCATGAACATAGTCCTCCCTAGCTACATACAGTGGATATAAAAAGTCTACACACCCCTGTTAAAATGCCAGGTTTCTGTGATGTAAAAAAACGAGACCAAGTTAAATAATTCCAGAGCTTTAGCCACCTTTAATGTGACCTATAACTTGTACAACTCAATTGAAAACAAACTGAAATCTGTTTTTCAGTGGGAAGTAAAAATAAAAAACTAAAATAATGTGGTTGCATTAGTGTGCACACCCTTAAACTAATATTTTGTTGAAGCACCTTTTGATTTTATTACAGCACTCAGTCTTTTTGGGTATGAGTTTATCAGCAATGCACATCTTGACTCTGCAATATTTGCCCACTCTTCTTTGCAAAAACGCTCCAAATCTGTCAGATTGCTTCATAGTTGCACCCTACAGCAAAAGCCGTGGTCAGCAGAGAACTTCCAAAGCATCAGAGGGATCTCATTGTTAAAAGGTATCAGTCAGGAGAAGGGTACAAAAGAATTTCCAAGGCATTAGATATACCATGGAACACAGTGAAGTCAGTCATCATCAAGTGGAGAAAATATGGTGCAACAGTGACATTACCAAGAGCTGGATGTCCCTCCAAAATTGATGAAAAGACAAGGAGAAAACTGGTCAGGGACGCTGCCAAGAGGCCTACATCAACTTTAAAGGAGCTGCAGGAATTCCTGGCAAGTACTGGTTGTGTAGTACATGTGTCTACAATCTCCCGTATTCTTCATTTGTCTGGGCTGTGGGGTAGAGTGGCAAGACGGAAGCCTTTTCTTACAAAGAAAAATATCCATGCCCGGTTACATTTTGCAAACACACATTTGAAGTCTCCCAAAGGCATGTGGGAAAAGGTGTTATGGTCTGATGAAACCAAGGTTGAACTTTTTGGCCATAATTCCAAAAGGTATGTTTGGCGCAAAAACAACACTGCACATCACCAAAAGAACACCATACCCACAGTGAAGCATGGTGGTGGCAGCATCATGCTTTGGGGTTGTTTTTCTTCAGCTGGAACTG